ACCATCCCTGCCCTGCTGGTGCTGTCCACATCACCCACCTCTGCAAACCCTTAGAAGGGCCAGGAGAGCCCAGTTTGGGCAGCTCTTCCCTTGTGGGAGGGGAGCAGGAGAGATGGGTTTTGCTGCCGAGGGACATGTGTGGCAAGTGTAAATTCTGGAGCTGGTACAAACCTGGAGGATGTCTGAGATGCTTCTTTTTCAAAAGGTTCCTCTCCTCCCCTTGTAACCAGCACCTTCTTCCAGGCGGTGGAGCAGGATTTCTTGGGAGCACTTGCACCAGCTTCTACTTGCACAAGGCTTGACCACAGATCCTCTGTCTACGCTCCCGCAGCTCTCCGGTGTTTCCAGTTTTGGCTTGAAACACTTGTCATTTTCTGAGCGAGGAGTTTGTGTGGCAGCAGTCAGAGAGGAGGAGGAGCAGCCAAGGGGGCGATTGACGGTGCTCCCGGATCGAGGCACCTCTCCAGCCACGGGGAGGGGGTGCGCGTAGACGCCAGGGACATTACTCACGGATGCATCTGTGCTGGTCCTGGCATTTTGTCTTCCACCCACTGCCACTTGCACGCCTTCCCGCAGCAGCTCACCTTTTGTGCCGCTAGCTGCAACGCCCTTCTCAAAGGGACACGCTGGGGTTGCAAGCTGTGTCCTCTTGCTCCTGTGGACGCTTTCCAAGGACGGCTGAAGCGGGAGCCTGGCTTGGTAACGCTGCCAGTAGCTTTCATTTATTCCACCTGGTCCTTCTTCACAGGACATCACGGATGAGGATTCAGACTTACCAGGTGTCTTTGAAGTGAAAGAGACACTTTTTCCTGTAGCTTCCTGGGGAACGTGTTCACTGAAGAGCCTGTGAGAAGGGACTTGGCCACACCTGCACAGCAGGAACTGATTTGGGACTGCCTCTTCAGAAGGCACCTGGGCAGGATCAGGCCTCAGTTCCTCTGAGGAAGCTTTATTATTGTCCCCAAATGTTCCTGCCACCAACAGTGACTGAGCAGGGCTGTTGCTGCTCCCGGTGCAGGTTGAGCTCACAGAACTCTTGCTGTCTGAAGGCAGCACAGCTCCAGGTGCAGAGCTCTGACTCTGCTCCTTCCTGCAGGGAAAGGGGGCTGCTGGGCTCCCCCTCTCACCAGGGAGCAGGGGGCTGCTTGGGTTCTCCTCCTTTGGAGCAGAGGGGACCTTGCAAGGCTCTCTCTCCTGCAGGGAAGGCAGAGGATTTGCAAGATCTCCCTTTTGTGGGACAGGGGGAGGCAGAGGGGGAGCCGAGAGGCCCTCCTGAGCTCTCTCTGTGCTGTCTGCAGAGGAAGACCTCTCCCCGGTAAGGAGGGACCTCGCCAGCTTCTGTTTTCCTGCCAGCCACCCAGAGCAGAAGCTGAGGATGCGCTGCATCTTCCCATGTGTCCTCCGGGCTGGCGAGAGGCAGCGGGTTTCCCCCAAACTGCAGATATCACTGGGCTGGGCCTGTCAAAAGAGGCTGTGTGTCACCGCTGCCCGTGTGGGCAGCTCCCTCCTAAGAGCTCAGGGCTTCACAGCATCACAGCTCCTCTCAGATATTCAGGTTACACAGTGGAATGCAATGGCGTATAAGAGCTTCTCTTTAGGATATTTAAAGTATCAGTTCCTACTTCTTTTCCAGTTTTGTAGTAATGATCAAAGGCTGTAAAGGTATAACGCCCTTTCGAAGGAAAGCTTGAAGAATTGCAAGGTTCCTCTTGGAAACGTTGATCTTGCTGTGTTTCTTTGGGACTGAGATACACAACAGGGTGCCTGAGGGCTCTGCTTCTGTCCTGGTAACACAAGAAGCTGATTCTCACGCACAGGTTCAGCCCTAGCTGCCACCAGCGCTCTTGACACGTCTGGTTGCCCCTCCAGAGGCTGGGGGCTCTGGGGGGGCCTCGGCAGCAGCCTTGAGTGCCCCGATCAAGCTAGAGTCAATGAGTTAACGTATGAACCATGCTCAGTAGACTGCACTCTGCCTGCTCGCTCAGACACTGCTTTCACAGGACATGAATTCAGCTGTTTGCCAGCCAAGGTCTTGTGACTGCGAATGTTTTCAGTTTTGTGAACCACAAGAGCTTTCGTCTAGTTCCGTTTCCTTATTACAACTTATTACAAAACTGTTGCTTGACATTCACAAGAATATTCTCAGTGGGGTGTGACAAAGCATAGTGTCTGTGTGGACAGCTCAGAACTGAAGAGTTAGGGGCTTCCACCCCCAGAAGAGGAAACCCTTTTGACTGGCCGTAACCACACAGACAACTGCAAAGTCCTCTGATGTTTGCTGAATCCGGGAGACAAAAAGATTTTGGAGACTTCTCTTTTGGGCGACACCTGGTACTGTTGACCCCTGATGATTTACTTGCAGCAGAAGACTGTCTTCACAGCTCGTATTTTTGTCACTTAGGCTGTTCCACAAAAGCAACAGTAGTCCAGTCAAGTCGTTTGGTTCTGGACCTTTCTCCTGCTGTTCTTCCTGCAGGTGACACTGATCTTCTACGAACGCTGGAAAAAGGATCACTCACTGTCGCAATCACAGATCTCTAGAGAGAAAAATTTTAGTTACTTTCAATAAATGCTATTTCTAGCCAGCCCAGCAACTGTAAGATCTATTCCAATAACTCAGTAATATTATTGTCTCCAATATTAAGACAAGACACGATCCTGGCAAGTGCTGGTGACGGCTGCATTATAGAAAACTTCTCTACCAAACCACTTCCCATTCTTCAGATCAAAACACTCTGGGACTCTGAGTACATCTAAGGGCCATTCCCTCTGGCTGAAACTCAGGAAATTAATGTCTTACGATGTCTGAAATGGGCTCCTAATTTTTCCTAAGGTTAAAACCTTAGGAACTAAGCAAGTTGGAATTCACTGAAATTTCACTATTGGGAACCAAAGCTTCTCTAAACAAGGGGATTTCGCTATCTTGGACTTGGCTGTTCTGGTACCCCCTTCCCCTGGGGTTTTGTCTCCATCCTCAGGCCACCTAGGTGCCACCACGGCCATCCTCGGGAAGCAGCGTTCAAGCTCTCCGGTGTGGACAGGAGTGGCCATGTTCCGGGCTCTGCTGTCCCTGCAGGGCGCGTGGCCACCCTGGCAGACCGGCTCCAGCGCGGGACACTCCGTGGGGTGCCCTGTGTCCCCTCACTCCATGGGATGCCCCCCACATCATCTCATCCCGTGAGGTGGCCCCACATCAAGTCACCTCATGAGGTGACCCCTCCACATGCCCTGACCTCACGGGGGGTCCCCACATGACATCACCCTATGGGATGTCCTCCCATATCCCCACACCCTACGGGGTGTCCCCCCACGTCACCTCACCCCATGAGGTAACTCCACATCATCTCACCCCATGAGGTACTCGCCCACATGACGTCACCCCATGGGGTACCCCCCCATATGACGTCATCCATGGGGTGCCCCCAGCATCACTCACCCCGGAGGTCTCCCCAGGTCACCCCCCCCGGGCCCTTTCCCCCTCGAGGTCCCTCTCACCCCTCCCAGCTCTCCCTGCCCCCACTTCGCCACTGCCTGGGGCCCCCACCTGACGTCACCGCATGACGTCATGCCGCTCTATGACGCAGTCCCGCCCGGGAACAACGCACCGCCCGCCTCCGCCCTCGAGCGCGCGGCG